CTGTGACTCCTGGATCGTCTTCTCCCTGTCCTCCGTCTCTGGGCTCTGACAGACAAACTGGCACAATTCCACAACCCAGGCACTACCTCACTCCAGTCCAGACCCTCCTGTCTCTCTCCACAGTCTATGTTAACCCCAAACTGCTCTTCCCTCCTCTGACAACACCCAAACCTTCCATGGGCAGAAGTATTTGAGACAACATATGGCTTACGGGATTCAGCAGGAATTTCTGTCTGCTGTTAAGGCCTCTTCTCTGTGGCCAGGTTGACTGCCTAGCATCAATTTCTACTAGTTCTCTGCTGTGCCCTCTGTGCTGATCCAACAGCACAGGTCACTGTATTCCTGAGCTGGCCCTGGTCCCACAACTTGACCTACTCACCAGTGGCTCTGAGAAGGTTCTGCCTTCTCCATTAGCTCCCATTGCAAGGAAGAGGGGTCCAGGTACCTGCGGGATGGGGCCCTGCAAGGCCTAGAGGCTTTGGCTTCCTGGCTGCTCTGAGTTGCCTCTGGTAGTGTCCCTGTTTATCCGTTTGCTCCAGCCACACTGGCTGCCCTCAGATGCTCCAGGCTCATCTCCAGAGCAGGGCCTTTGCACTGGCTCTTCCTAACGCCTGGAAAGTTCTCTACTCCTGTCCACATTTCTTGCTTCCGACCTTGCCATGTCATCCCTGAAATGTCACCTCCGTGAGGCCATGCGTGACCACTTGACTTAAAGTGGCACCCTGCTCCTGGTTCCTGGAACTCCACATCCCCCTCCTCTGGAGCCCTTGCCACCACCTGACCTTGACCCTGACCCACACCCACTGTGAGTGTTACTAGAGAGTGAGCTTCAGGAAGCCATGTGCTGGGGCTGTCTCTGTGGCTGCTGTATCTCCTGAACCCGACAGAAACCAGGCACTTAGAAACTGTTCCACTTCCCGGCCCATCTCCAAAGCAGCCTATTCCCAAGTCCATCTTAGGCTAGCAAAAGCTGCTGAACCTTTTTTTCTTTGCACTCCAAACATGTGTTGAGGGTTCTTGCTGCATGGTGACCCAGATAACAAATCCAGATTTCTTTTTTATTGAGCATATTGAGCTTCTTATGTGCCCTTAAAGTATTTTACATGCATTATCTGATTTGCTGCTCACAAAAATGCAATGAAGTTAGAAGATGTGCTAATTAACCCTCATGTGGGGCCAGGAGGGCTGGGTGTGGACTCCAGCCTGCGTGTGCTTCCACTTAGGCCTCTGTGACCCCTGGATTTGGGGGGGGGTCTACAAGGCCTTCTAGAGGTAAAAATAAATAGTTTTTATCCCTATTTGATAGATGAGCAAACTGAGGCTCAGAGAGGTAAAGTGACTCACCCAGGTCACACAGCCCCTGCCTTCCTGTGCCCTTTCTGCTACACCCCACCACCTGCACTATTTATATCCTCTCTCCCTAGCAGGTGGTGATCTCCATTTCTTAGCAAGCATCCAGCTCTTTGCAACCAACCTGGGCCATGTTTGAAGTATGAGCCATAATCACAAAGGTCCTGCTTGTCGGCCAAGAGAGCATCACCACATCTGACATCCAAGGAGAGAGTTCAATCCTACTGAAGAGTGGATTTTCACAGGCGGGTCTCTCATCCGGCACTTCCTGAGCACGTGACCTGGGGCATATTGTTTTACCCTTTGAGCCTCTCTATCCATATCTATAAAATGGGGTCAATACCTACCTCCAAGGTAGTTGTGAAACAACACAGTTGATTTGTTCCAGCCTACAAATAATCTTTCTGTAAATAATTTATAAATTCTTGACTCAGGAAAATCCAACTCACCAACTCCCCAGGATTCATTTTGCTTTACTAGGCAGTCACCCTGCACTACAGACCCAAGGAGATTTAGCAAAGAAAAGTGCCACACCTTTTGCCCAGAAGCTGTCCTGCAGCACGGTTGATTCCCCACGCTGGAAGTGGCTGCTAGGTTTCAGAATCCAATCAGAGGATCCCACAAGCATCCCCAAAGAGGACTGTGTGGGATGGTGATGGGGTTAGAATGAAATTCCAAAGGAGGGGGCTCCAGGACCAAATCCAAGCCAGAGTGGGAAGGCAGCTGCAGGAAAAGCTTGGCCTGGGCTAGCGGGGGCAGGCAAAGGGGCCCCCTCCAACAGAGAGAAGGTAGAGGGCTCAGAGATGAAAGCAGGAGGGAGATGTGCGCCTTGCCAGCCCGTGCCGGGTTCCCCGGACGTTTCCATGTGGCAGCCTCTCAGCCACTGTGGAGCAAACAAAGCCAGAGGTGCTGCTGCAGACATCGCTCGGCGGCTGGGAAACAGGGGCCGTCTGTACCTTTCAATGCTCTCATCTCATTAATCTTGTACCTCTGCAGTCCTTCTGAAGAGCGCACTCACAGGAGCTCATTCATTACGGCTCTAATAACAGTGGCAGGCATTAAAGCACCAGGCTGCGGAGGAGCTGGCCTCTGCAGCTGCAGAAAGCCAATACCTTTTTAAATACATTTACACAGCAATAAATAAAAGCGGTCTCAGTTTACCTCTTTATTAAACTCTATTTTCTCGTCAGAGTTAAGGGCGGCATTTGTGTCTTGCTATTCAAATTTATTCGTACATGTCTCCTAGGCTGGTCACATTTATTCCATCATGCAATAATGGTGACTAGAGCTTAAGGGGACCTTTCATCACCAAGCAGCCCTCATTAAGGGCTCTGCTTCAGGCTCCTGGGCTCAATTTGGCCACCATGAAGACCACCCCCATTATCCAGAGGGAAAAACGAAGGCAGAGAATGAACATGCCTTCATTAGTCTTGCTCAGCAACCAGCCAGCTGATGACTGGAGGCTGATGAGTGATCAGTGTCCCCCAAACTCTAGTGCAGAGAGATGGCCCCCTAAAGGGGTTGCTGCACCTGGCATACCCCCTCCCAGCCCCAGCTCCAAGTATTGAAGAGTCACAGGTATATTAGCATAGTAAAGACCCTGAGAAAGCAGGGAATCTGTTCAAACTGGTTTTGACCTTGGATCTCCTCTCTCTCTTTCTCAACACCTGGTCTGTTTCAAGGAGTCAACATTTGTGTTTTAATTTGTGCAAAGTGTGGGATTTGCCAATCTGGAAGTTTTCCTCCATTTGCTGTATCTTGACTATTCCCATTGTGGGCAATTTCTTGCTTCCACAGGCCGTTCAGAGTTTGAGATTCCACCTGCCTTCCTTTATTAAGGGCTTGTCTTCTTTGAGTATCCTAGACTTTCTAAGAAGGCCCCAGTGGATGGGCAGGCACAATTGCTGGAATACACACCAGTCCCGAAGCTCAGAGGCTGTCTGCACTCTTCTGATTTTTGTACCCAAAGGCCTCAGGACCTAAGCCACTGTCCTTAGACTCAGGCTAAAGCAAGTGGGTAGTAGAGTGCTGGTTTGCTGTGACCAGAAAACCCAGGTGGGATGGGAATCCCTGGACAGGTATTGGTCATAAGGTTTTGTGGCAGCAGAGCAGTAAGAGGGTCACCGGAGGGTGCCTGGATATGTGGACCTGGCCACCTGTGGAGACCAGTGGTATCTTACCCCCCAGTGAGAGCCAGCAATGAATGAACTGCTCCCCAATTCACCTGGGGAGTTATTACTCACCACTGTTCACTGCAATGGCTCACCTGTACTGAGAATGCACACATGCCACGAAGGCATTACCTCCCATGGGACAACAGGCTAGTGAGGCAATGGGATTTCTTCTGCATTTCATGGATGGACAAAGTAGGTACAGAGAGGTTATATGGCTTGCCCAAGGTCACACAGCTAGTCAGGATTCCAATTCAGGGAATCCACTCTGATTCCAGCTCTCTTTACTGCTGTGTCAGGAATAAGCTTGGCACAAATGGCCTCCAGGAGCCTCTAGAGGATTCCTGTGTTAGAGTGAGGGGTCCTCTCTGGGGTCAGAGTGCTGAAGGGCCCTCAAAGTCCAGCAGCCAGTTCATACCTCCAAATTATACTGAATGGTAGAGTCCTCTTTCCCCAGGATTTTCTACTTCCTGCCCCTTCCCTTCCATTCCTCCTGCATCACATTCCCAGGGGTGACCCATCCTGGGCATGGTAGAATGAACAAGGATCCGGACATCAGCAGGAGAGGATTCTGGTCTATTATTTGTGCATCTCAGGCTGCACCACTCTGAGCCTGTTGGAGTCAGAGCTTGAATTCATTTCTCCAACATTATCCCAAGCCTGGTGCTATGCTCTCTTTTAAAAGAAAGCACGGGGGATAGTCGCAGGCTGGCCTTGAGTCCTGGCTTGCTGGCCTACAAGCTGTGTTGTTTGAGGCAGGCCACTTCTCCTCTCTGGATCTCAGTTCCCACATGTGGAAAAAGGCTGAGAGAATGCACAATTCACATACCACTCAGCATCTATGTAAAGCCTAGACACACAGGAGACACCTGGCAAATAACAGGTGCACAATAAATGTAATGATTTCATTCCCTTTCTTCATCTTAGCTTCTGGGCAGCTGGGGCAGGGGAGGGAGTCAGTTCTTCTAAGTTCAGGGAGGTAGGAGGGCAGCCTATCCGTTTACTGACAGCATCAGGACCCAGATGTAACCAGGTCATGCCAGCTAAGTGGCTGAGAGTACTGAATGCTAACTGCACGATGAGAGAAGCCAGGCTCTCTGCTCACACTTCTCGCCCCAGTCCTGGAGCTTTGGGCTGGGAGAAACTATTCAATAGCTGCTCAGATCCACTCTTCGTCCCCTTTTCCCTTGTGTGCTAGAAATCAAAGTCCTGACTTCCCCATTTGCCCTTGCAGCCATAAGTGGCCACAGGATCAAGTGTTGGTCAATGAAATATAAATAAAATTTTTAAAAAAAATCTGCAGGGTAGGGGTGGGATTCTGGAAAAGATTTTGTGGAGGTAAAGAATGCACTCACCATCTTGATTGTGGTGATGGCTTCAGGTGTGCATATGTGTATCAAAACTGATCAAACTGTGTATTTTAAACATGTGCAGTTTGTTGTATGTCAATTATATCTCAATTATGCTGTTTAAGAAAAATCCTGCCCCAGTCTCTGGAGAAGAATGGTTTTTCTAATCAAAGGAAACTTCATGGAATGCCTGAAGTCCGGTGGCTCCCTGATAACCAGGAGTAACAAGTATGTTGGCAAGTTCAAGAGAGCTCCTGAGATGTTGACTCTAACCCAGCCCCGAGTTACCTTCTTGCTATAGGACGAAAATAAACACCTATTTGTTTAAACCCCGGCAAGTGAGGTTTTTGGATTCCTTACACTCCAAAGCTTGACTACATTTACTTGGGTGCTCAATCAATATTTGTTGAATAAATGCATTAAGGATTTGATAAACCAATGAACTGAGAGGAAGGAGCAGTCTCTCTGGGCTGGAGTGACCAGGAAGTCTTCTCATTTGGGTTTGGGACTAGAATTTGCCCTAGCAAGATGGGTGGACTTTGGCTAGCAAGAGGAGGTGCAAGGAGGGGTTCAAGGCAGGGAGAGTGGCAGGAGCCAGGCACCCCTGCTCAGGTAGACCCGCCCTCTGAGGCAGTGGCAGGGGTCCTACCTCCTACCTGCCTCCATCTTGGCTAATAAGCCAGCCCGTAGTTTACTTTCCTCCCCACATTCTTTTTTGTCAGTGGCAGAAAATTACAGCTGACAAGTGGCAATTGATCTCTTCACATTATTTTGAAGCAATTTATTGAAACGGAAAACAATGCTTCCAGGAAAGAGCCCGATAACAGAGTCGAACACAAAGCTCCCTCTAAGATAGATAGGGGAGGCCAATTTGCACTGCATAGAAACTGACCAAATTTCCTTCCCCGGAAACTAGAGTTAATTACTACCTGGAAATCTTCAAAGATAACTTCTACTTCTTTCTAGGGGATAGAGAACAGCCTGAGTCTGCAGGTGGCCTCAAGAGGGGTGAGCTGCCTTGGGCCTGCCAGCACCCCCCAACAGGAAACCCTTAAACTCTCACATACCAAGAGGGGCTCTGTGGACTCAAGTCTGGGAACACAAAACCGACTTGCTCAGAAGGCATTATGCTATAATTCCCCAAACTTGGAACAGCTTAGGACCCTTAAAAGAAACAGATTCTTGCAGACCCCAATATTGACTTAACGATTGTATTTGAATGCTACTTAAATTTTTACAAACCAAAGATAGGAATAAACTTTCTTTGCTTATAGTTTATATATGATGGGAAATAAAAGCATCATTCCAGATATAAAAATAAAAATATTCCAGATATAATGTAAAATCACAAAGGCATATTAACATCAATTTAATGTAAAATATGTAATGCTGCTTTGCTGCACCAAATTTGCACCTGTAACCTGGGCATGATGCCATCAGCCACAGAACCAATCTCTGTGTGTTTTTCATGGCCTGTCATTGTGGCAGTGTGACCAGGGCAATTTCTTGTTACCTCTCTCTTCTGTCTCCTGGAACTTCTGTTCACATGGCATGCCTGGGGAGGGAGGCTTCAAAGAGCCTGTCTTGACTCTTTCCTCATGAGTCTGCAGCAGCTTATCTGGTGCCAGCATGACTGGCACGAGCAGGACATGGATGTGTAAGCGGACACTTTGGGGCACGGTGTCCTCTAGATGAGTGGCTCTCAGACTTGGCAGTACGGTGGAATCACTTGGAAAGACTTTACAAATGCCCATGCTCAGCCATACTCCAACCAATTAAGCTGGAATCTTTTAAAACACTCCCTAGGTAATTCTGATGGACAGCCAAGTTGAGAACGAATGATCTATGTCCATTTCTCAAGGCACACTAGACACATTTCCAAGTGTGCCTCAGAATCCATGGAGAATGTGTTAAAACTCGGAGTGCTGGACCCCAGCCCCAGAATTTCTGATTGTGTAGTTGTAGGGGTCAAGGAGCCTGCAACTCGTGTTTCTCACAGGCTCCCACGTGATGTGGATGCTGCTGGTCAGGTGACCACATTTTGAGAACCATCAACTTAAATGATTGGAATAAGCATATATTCACTGCTACTGGTTATCATAGAAATTAAAGCATTTGCATCATGAACTCAAGGATTCCAGAGAATGCATCTGAGAACCCCAGCATAAGAAATGTCCACGCAGTGACCCTGGCAGGACTCAAATCCCTCCTCTACTCACATGCAGCTATATGGTCTCTGGTAAACCATTCACCTCTCTTTGAGCCTCAGTCTTTGATGTGGTGAGATGGGTATAATGTCCATCTCACAGATAAGCTTGGGAAATGCAGTAAGGTGCAATTCAAAGGCAGACATTGGTAGGTCGGGAAAAGGCTTGGGTTTTGGTTCCAGCTCCACTACTTGCTCACTGTGTGGCCTCGGCCACTGTGCTCATTAGCATGGTAAAGATGAAAACATGGCTAATAATGGCTGGCAGGCTTGTTATGGGGCTTAGATATATATATGAGACCGGGCGCGGTGGCTCAAGCCTGTAATCCCAGCACTTTGGGAGGCCGAGGCGGGTGGATCACGAGGTCAAGAGATCGAGACCATCCTGGTCAACATGGTGAAACCCCGTCTGTACTAAAAATACAAAAAATCAGCTGGGCATGGTGGCGCGTGTCTGTAGTCCCAGCTACTCAGGAGGCTGAGGCAGGAGAATTGCCTGAACCCAGGAGGCGGAGGTTGCGGTGAGCCGAGATCGCGCCATTGCACTCCAGACTGGGTAACAAGAGCGAAACTCCGTCTCAAAAAAAAAAAAAAAAAAAAAAAAAAAAAAAAAAAAAAAAAAAAAAAAAAAAAAAAAAAAAAAAAAAAAAAAAAAAATATATATATATATATATATATATATATATGAAAGTAACTTTTTAAACTGCAAAGCACTAAATGGCTTATTTTATAAATTAAGACATATCTCAGAGGTAGAGACACTGTGAACCTGGCTAGAAAGGAACTGGCCACACTTATCCATCTCCTCTCCACCTTCAGGGTGGGTTTCCCTAAAGGGGGACCTAACAAGTAGTTTGCTGAGAAGCCCCTGTGTTTGCAAAGCTGGAAAATGATCTGAATCCCAAAGATGGGTGCTAGTAGGTGGCCCAATGAAGGGAGTCTATTTAATCTTCCTAGCATTTACTCTCAAAGAAAGCTGTTGGAATGAGCTCCTCTTCACTATCTAGCTTTCAGAGGAAACACAACCTCTAGTTGGCTCACATGATGTCAGAGGAAAACAAGATTTTTTTAAATGAAGAAATGTAGAAGGTAGGCAAGGAGAGAGTTACTGGAAGGAGACTTCCCTCAAAGAGCAGAGCTGCCAGCTACTCCCTTCTCTGCTCACTTGCAGTCCCTGTCCATCTCCGTGCCATCCCTCATCCAGGTTCATAACAACGATAACAGCTTTGCTGTCCCAACACCACAAACTCTTTGAAGGCAGCTCTACACCTCACCCACTCGCAGCCCAGCTCCTTGCCTTGTGGTTGATTTGTAACTGACGCTCTGTACAAGTTGAGTGAACGCTTGAATGGATGAAACTAACACAAAATTTTAAAGACATCCCTACATAGTGCAGTTAACTCACAGCTTCAGCATTCTAATGCTTCAGCATTAGAAAGATAGCAAAGGGGAGGGCATTTTATGAGGAAGCCAAGAAGGGGCTTGGAAAACCAAGCAACTAAGTAACATGACAACTTTTGCATTTTGGTCTAAGAAAATTTATTTTTCTTCAGCTTTTATTTTAAGTTCCAGGGGTACAGTGCAGGAAATGCACAGGTTTGTTACATGGTAAATGTGTGCCGTGGCGGTTTGCTGCACAGATCAACCCATCGCCTAGATATTAAGCTCAGCATCTAATTGCTATTTTTCCTGATGTTCTCCCTCCCACCACGCTCCCTGCCAAGGCCCAGTGTGTGTTGCCCCCCTGCCATGTGTCCATGTGGTCTCATCATTCAGCTCCCACTTATAAGTGAGAACACACGATATTTGGTTTTCTGTTCTTGTATTAATTTTCTGAGGATCATGGCTTCTAGCTCCATCCATGTCCCTGCAAAGGACATGATCTTGTTCCTTTTTATGGCTGTATAGTATTCCATGTACTTGTACATTTTCTTTTTTTTTTTCATATATATGTTTTTTGTACTTTAAGTTCTGGGATACATGTGCAGAACATGCAGGTTTGTTACATAGGTATACACGTGCCATGGTGGTTTGTTGCACCCATCAACCAATCATCTACATTAGGTACTTCTCCTAATGCTATCCCTTCCCTACTCCCCCACCTTCTGACAGGCCCCGGTGTGTGATGTTCCCCTCCCTGTGTCCACATGTTCTCATTGTTCAACTCCCACTTATGAGTGAGAACATGTGGTGTTTGGTTTTCTGTTCCTGTGTTAGTTTGCTGAGAATGATGGTTTCCAGCGTCATCCATGTCCCTGCAAAGAACATGAGCTCATCCTTCTTTACGGCTGTATAGTATTCCATGGTGTGTATGTGCCACATTTTCTTTATACAGTATATCCTTGATGGGCATTTGGGTTGGTTCCAACTCTTTGCTATTGTGAACAGTGCTGCAATAAACATATGTGTGCACGTGTCTTTACAGTAGAATGATTTATAATCCTTTGAGTATATACCCAGTAATGGGATTGCTGGGTCAAATGGTATTTCTGGTTCTAGATCCTTGAGGAATTACCACACTGTCTTCCACAATGGTTAAACTAATTTACACTCCCACCAACAGTGTAAAAGTGTTCCTATTTCTCCACATCCTCTGCAGCATCTGTTGTTTTCTGACTCTTTAATGATCACCATTCTAACTGGCATGAGATGGTATCTTGTTGTGGGTTTGATTTGCAGTTCTCTAATGACCAGTGATAAAGAGCTTTTTTTCGTGTGTTCATTGGCTGCATAAATGTCTTCTTTTGAGAAGTGTCTGTTCATATCCTTTGCCCACTTTTTGATGGGGTTGGTTTTTTTCCTAGTAAATTTGTTTAAGTTTTTGTAGATTACAGATATTACCCCTTTGTCAGATGGATAAATAGCAAAATTTTTCTCCCATTCTGTAGGTTGCCTGTTCAATCTGATGATAGTTTCTTTTACTATGCAGAAGCTCTTTAGTTTAATTAGATCCCATTGGTCAATTTTGGCTTTTGTCGCCATTGCTTTTGGTGTTTTAGTCATGAAGTCTTTGCCCATGCCT